TTTATTTTTAAGACATCATGTCACTAAATTGCCAAGGTTAGGCTCAAACTTGCAACCCTCCTGCCTTAACCTCCTGAGTAGCTGGGATTATGGGCATGCACCATGTGATGGCATTCTTATAGCATTCTGCACCATACATTTTTCTCACTTGGTAATATACTTAGGAGATTGTATCAGTACTTAAAGAGCCTTCCCCCTCCTTTTTATGGCTGCATAGTACTCTATTGTACAGTGTCTGGCTATACAATAATTTATTGGTCAGTTCCTCATTGATAGACACTACTACAGTGAAAAAAATAATTTCAAATGTGAGTTCTTATATAATTGTTACTCCTGGGGAGTATAACAATTTTTGAGTGAACACTTCTATTCTGGGTCCTATCTGTCCCTTTCAGACATTCGGGAGCTGATTGAAGTGGACGATGTGATGGAGGATGACTCTCTGCGGTTCGGTCCAAATGGAGGATTGGTGTTTTGCATGGAGTATTTTGCCAATAATTTTGACTGGCTAGAGAAATGTCTTGGCCATGTGGAAGATGACTACATCCTTTTTGACTGTCCAGGCAAGTCAGCAATGTGAATGTGTCCCTTACCTTGAAGGTGTGATTGTGTTCTCAGTGGGAGAAGGTGTGGTGAGCATTTATAACCCTAGGTTGTAGTGCAGTAAGATACCAAGGTCTTAACTTCATCCGCTGATGCTGTCGAGGGCTTCTGGTACACTGGCAGCACCACAGAGAGCAAGGGAGCCACGGTCTCTGTCTTCATGGGACTCATAGTCCACAGAGTGCACGCATGTGAATGAAATCACCCCTATGGTGATGTAATACTCACTTGGGACCAGCATCCCACAGAAGTAACAGACGTCATGAAGCAGGGAGGTTAGAGAGGCTTCAGATCCAGTGGCCACTAAACCAAGCTGTGATGTGAAAGTGAAAGTGAAAAGACAGTGGTCCAGGCAGAGGGCACAGCAGCACAACGTCCTCGAGCAGGAAGGAGTAGACAGGTGTGAGGCACTGCAAGGGCCAGAGTGGCTGGAGCACAGTGAACAAGGAGGAAGATGCCATGTGGTAAGCCTGGTGACTACAGATGGTTTCTTAAGACCTGAACCTAATTCAGCTGATCACTTGTGGCCCTCATTTGTTTTCTTTTGCTCCTAACTGAACATCCCTGTAGTAAGAGTATGCATCAAAAATGTAGGTTTGGTAAGTGCTTCCAAACTGCACAAGCTTTGTACCACTAATACTCACTTTTCCCTAACGCTGGGTATTGAGTTCAGGGTGTGCCAGGCAAGCTCTTACCGTGTAGCCACATTCCCAGCCTTAGCACTCACTTTTCATTGGCACAATATGTAGTTTGAGGAGCTTCATTTTCTACATTAGGCTGGATAGTTTGCCCGAGATTCCCACGGAGGCATTACCTTAGGTTTTAGGATTGTTTTGAGAGGCTAGAAGGCCCTGTAAAAACTGAATACATTATTACTAAGAAATGATTGCTTTTTCCACCATCATCTTATGGGTAAAACTTCTGTTCTCTGATACTTAACCTACTTCCTGTTTATATCATTCTCATGATCCTCTTCATGTAGGTCAGATCGAGTTGTACACTCACCTGCCTGTGATGAAACAGCTGGTCCAGCAGCTGGAACAGTGGGAGTTCCGAGTCTGTGGCGTGTTCCTTGTTGATTCTCAGTTCATGGTAGAGTCCTTTAAGGTATGAAAATAAATCTG